AAAAAAAAAAAAAAAAAAAAAAAAAAAAAAAAAGAAAAAACCAATCAGGAATGCCCGGCGTGACTGGTGCACCTGGACGAAAATGAAAACGATGAACGACTTCATCGATCACGACATCGCGTTAATTAACGCTTCTCATTAATACAGATCGATTGCGCGAGCGAGTTTCTCCTTCGAAAGCGATTCGTCCGAATAGAGAGATGCGGTTTGGAAAGAGGGAAAGGGGATGGGAAAAGGGGGTATTCCTTTTGTTCCCTTTCTTTTCCTCTCTCTCCTCCCGCGTCCCTTCCTCCACTGCAGTCTCTCGCAGGTCCTTCAAGCTGCTGCCTCGATCTCTCTTTCTGCTTCAACCGCCTTCTTAATCTTCCTTTAATTCCCCGGCTTTCGCGTTTCTTTAGCTCCTTTTTCCATCTTTCGTTTCCTCCATTTCATCTCTTCGTCGTGCCTCTTCTTTCCCCTCTTCTTCTTTTCTATCTTCCTCCTTCTCTCCTCGTCCTCCCTTTTGTTGTCGCCCCCTTTTTGTACCATCTCCCCCCCCCCCCAGCTTCGCGGCCTTTCGCCAGCTCCCTTCGCCGGTTTCCCCCTTCGCTGGAGAGAGATACGCGCCGACAGGTTTCGAACTGTCTCGGATCCCTCGTGAGGGGCTGCTTCGGCGCGAAATCGAGCCAGGGAGTCAGTTTCTTCGTCCTCGCGTGTTTTTCCTCGCGCTCGAATGTTTCAGAATTCGTCGACAAAGAGAAACCTAGAGACTTTATATCTCTTCTCCTAACTATTTAATTTTATTTAATTTTATTTAACTATTTAATTTTATTTAATCGTTTATTAAAAATTTCAGATATTCTTTTCGCACAGGCTTCAAACAGGCTCCATTATCATGTCTTTGATTAAAAACTTGTCGTTGCAAATGTAGATTACATGTCAAGAATTTCTTTATCCATGCTCATAAATTCCGAAGGATTCCGCGAGCTTGAAATGCACACACAGTTTCATGCTTTTTCTTCCTTTTATATATATATATATATATATATATATCATAGATTTATATAATCTTATTTATTTATATAATCTTAGGTTTCATGCTTTGAGTCTGTCATTGAAGTAACTCTCAGGGAGAACTGGATGTTTCTCGAAAAAAACATCGTACGAGCCGTGATCGTATGTACGCAATCGATAAGTGAAATAAGAAGAAAACGAAGTTTCTTACACAGCTGTATGACGGCGACGATACATTAAAGCATCTACTCAGACTGAGATCGCTCTATTAATTCTTGTTCACGTTTTCATGCCGATGCAAATCGCTTTTTATACGTCGAGCGCGCTAATTTCACCGCGTCGCGGTTTCGTGGCCGTGTGAAAATAATTTAGCGTTTGTAAGGTATGAATAATTACGGAAAGCGAAACCATTCTAATAGTTTAGGTTTCTGAAGTAATTTGTCCAGTTTTAAATTAATTATGGTAAGAGTCATTGTGATTCCGATGGAATCAATTATCGAAAAAGAAACTATTTGAGAAAAAAATTAGTTTTAACAATAGATCTGTCACCATTGTGCAAAATTCTAATTTGACTCACCTTGAAATATATTATTAAACACAAAAAATCTAAGAGACATGTATTATTTTATATCAAATTTATAATTTAAAAGGAAAAACCATCCCTTATGAATGTATTTAGATTTTCTAAAAATTTAATATTTTTTAGACTATTCCATCCCTATTATTATTTTTGTAAAATTTTTCAATTTATTTCTCAAAGATGTGATTTTGTAAAATAATTTTATTATATATAGTTAAATTTGGCATAAAATTTCTTTTAATTTTTACTCTTAAAAGAAATTTAAATTTCACAAAAATAATAATTGGAGATGAGACATTTTAAAAATATCAAATTTTTGACAAGTCTAAATGTATAATTATAAAGTGCATAAAATATCATAAAAGTTTTATTTATTTAAAACATTTTTCTATACGTCCCACCCTGATTAGGATCAAATGTAACGTAAGTTTTGAAAGGTTTTTTCATCCCTTAAATTTTAAATTGGGATTGGATATAAAAAAAATACGTATCTCTTAGATTTTTGTTTAACAATATATTTCAAGAAGAATCAAATTAGTTTCGCACAATTTCCGTGTTAGGTCCTTTGTGAGTAACGCTGATATTAGAATTGCAAATCCTAATGTTGTTATTTAATATCATTAAGACAATGGATTAGGTAAGAAATTGCTATAAGGATTCAATAATATAGACATGTATTCGACTTGGTCAGCAGGTCGTTATGCGGCCCCGATACTTTTTTGTACGGAGAACCATCCTGAACACTTTTTCGGGCATCAAGATTTATCGATCAGATCGCGCGCGGCTGGTCGCCTTCCCATGGATCAACGACTATTGGAACAAAATCTGCTGGGAGACTGACTTACCAACAGATTGACAGCACTGGTGTGATCGTCCACCCAAGCGAGCAGGATGTCGGCGCCTTTCATGTGGCTCTTCTCGTTGAAACCGATGCCGACGTAGCCGAGAGTTTTGGCGGTGACTCTGAAGATCACCTCTTCGTCGTCCGAAGGATCCCACTCGAGAATCACGTCACCGTTCTCATTCAGCTTCTCATACCTGGTGAACTTGGGTTTGACATTGGATGTATCCTCGTTTACCCCTTCCTTCACGCTTCTTCTGGACCTCATCTCGTCTTTGACGAAGGAACTTTTCGCACCTCGTCCATTTTTCGCTGACTTCTCCGGAAATACTTCTTCGGTACTCGGCTTTCATGCAACTTCGGCGTTCCCTTAAAGCTCGAAGCAACAAATGACTTTGGATTGATCCGCTCGTTCTCGCTGATTATTTCGAATTGCGAATTGTTCTCGGTCTCTATTTCTTCGTAGGCCCTCCAGTTCTCTGCCGAGAGTTCTTCTTCACGTTCCACATCTTCGGCGGCTAACTCTTCGACGTTGGTCTCATTCTGTATCGTTACCAGCTCATCCGCCAACGTTTTCTCTTGTTGTTTAATTGGTGGATTCTGTAAGATATTTAATTGTGAATTTTCAGCAGCGTCTTCGATAATTGTCGACTTCTTCTCAGGATATTTCGAATCCTGCGTTGTGTTCAAAAGCATCTCATGCTGATCGGAATCCAGATTTTTCTCGTCCTTGTTTGGATAGTTTAAACCGTCGTTTTTGTAGAAAGCAATCTTTCCCTTGGCCTTCCATTCCTTCAACCAATTCTCATCGACATTTAACCGCTGTTTTTTGAAATTACCGATCCTAAATAACGGTTGATCTTCTTGAAGATTCCTCTTTATCCTTCTGGAAACAGGATCCATGGGATGTCGCTTATTTCTATACGGCATCGTCCTCATCGTTTCGTCCATGTGCTGGACGTAGAGATCCAACAGATCGCATTTGACGATCCAGCACGCGACCAGCGTCACAATTACCCTGAGTAGTATCATCTTCTTCCGCTTCTTTTCTTCCTTCTTGATCCTTCATACGATCATTTAAACAAATTCTACTGTTTGCTTCACTATATCAATATCATCAATTCGCTTTGTCTTTTTTTTTTAATTTATCTTATCAAATACAATCGGAATTAATTAATCTATCGCTATCATTTTTCAACCGCTACACTTGAATTTCACTGCAATCTCTCTTAAATTCCCAATTATCAATTGCAATTGTTTTTAAATTTCAGAAAAGGAAAATAATCTCTTATTGCATTTTATCGATCCTGTCTTACTAGAAAGTTAAGTTTAAATTAATTTTATCGAAGCGGATCGCTCGTATTCGCGTAACAAAAATCCGATTGGTAATTTGGAGTAAATTTAAACGTTTATTTCTTTCACGATTTTTCTTAATCCAATTTTCAACACACCGAATTCGGGAACAGTCTTTCGTGCATGCTGCACGCACGACAGTTGTGCCAAGACTAATTTAAACACGCGGCTGCCGCCGCTGCCCCTGCAGATGCTCGCAGCTGCTTACCTGCAGTCCCCCCTTCCTTTGGGGCCCTAATACAGGGACGTACTGTTCCAGAACGTACATTTGTTGTCCTTAGCCAGCTATTAAATCGCACAAACAAAATTTTTCTATGAAACGTACCTTTCCGCTACGAGATAAAAACGTGAAAATCAAACGAGCATACAATAAAAGAGCATTTTTCCTTCGCTGGCAAAAGTGACGAAAAGTCACAGAATTGGGAGAAATCAAGCGTAAATTCGAACGTAATTTTTGTATCTAGCCTATCTTCCTGATCTTTGAGCAGCAAAACGATTGATGAGGAAATACAAATTACATTTTGCGATGAACTATTATTTAAATTATTATAAGTAAACTCCTTTTTACATAGTAATAAAGTAAACAAAGGCTAAATGGTTTTTTATAGTTTTCTTTTCGTTATTTCATTTGCTGGTGATATCTCATTTGCTGCTCATCCAGTTTTTGCGACGTTCGCCAAGGATCAATCCTTGTGTTTTTTTGCGCTCGACTTTATACTTACGTGCGGCTAATAAGTAATCGCGCCGTTTCACTTAGTTGCGGCCGACTCGCGTAATACGCAAAGATACGCAAGTCGGCCGCAACGTTCTGGGACGCGCGAGGGTAAAAATTGTTGGCTGTGTGCGAAATCACAGTGATTGCGATATAAGGTAAAAACCCTCCTCCATGTCTACGTGAGGAGCTCAGCCACTCTGATCTTTCGAGCGCAATAATTGCATACGACTCGCACATACGATTATCCACCGCTGCGGCTCGCCCGCGCGTTTCACGAGAATGTTCGATGAGGGACGAAAGAGGGATCTCGACGGTGCTTCCTGCGGAAACGTCTCTCTCTCTCTCTTTTTTTTCTCTCCTTTTTCTTTTTTGTAACCGGAGACTCACGTACGTGGACGGCGATGCTGATGGTGGTGGCCTTCCCTTTCGAGAAAGAGACGTGGGGATGTAAAAGCAACTGCGGCAGATGCGAACCCTCGGCACGCGCCCTTCTGTTCCCCAGGGATTCTCATGCCGGTCCTCTGGCCTTCCGGTGGAGCAGTGCTTTTCCAAGTGCTGTAGTGCCGTTAAATTTCATTTACAATCTCGATAGCATTTAATTGAGCTATTTTTATTAATAAATTATGTCTATCTTTATCATTATGGATTAATTTTAATTTCATTAACATCAACTTGTTTTTATTTTTTAGTTTTTAGAATTAAAAAGAACATTAAGAATAAATTACATCGAACATTAATAGACTTTAGTAGAAATGGATATATTCTTCAAATATATATTTTCAATAAATCGTTATTAAATTTTCAATAAATCGTTATTAAATTATCAAAAAATCTGCCTTCCGAGGGAGTAGTGCATCGTAAAATTTAAAATTTTACTTTCGATTTTCCGTTTTTAAATAAATTATTTTAATTACGTTCATTTTTATCAATGTAGATTAACTTTAATCTTGGTTTGATTTGCTTTTTATCTTTCTTCAGATCTAAGAATTAGAAAAATATCAAGATTAAATTAAATCAAAAAGGTCATTATTCACATATCTATCGTTAATAAATCATCGTCGGATTATCAAGTTATTTGTGAAATGCATGGCATCCATTTGCCAAGGCATGATTTATAGAATCAATATACTTGCTTCGTACCAATATCATCGATATCGCCAGCGATCCGGTTAATCGTGCGAATCCCATTCGGTCGGCGTCCAGCATATTTCGCTTAAGCGTCCGCACGTGTTCAGAAGCCAAGTGTCTCGAGTTACTTCCTGCGACTCACATTGAAACACTATACTTCATGTGTGAAGGTGACAGTTACCAATCCTTATTCTTTACGGACAGGATCCGATATTGATCGATACGAAAGTGCAATGAGGACTGGTTTGCGAGACAGACTTGAGGTACACGTTAACGAGGATACAAAATGGTAAAATTCGATAAGATCAACAATCGTGATTGGTGGTATAAATTGTTGAGAATTCGCTGGCATTTGTTCAAAGATTCAAAAAAATTTTTGATAAACGACGTTCTTTCTTTAAAGTATGATAGCGCAATTAAATATCCATTTCTATTCGAAAAAGTTTGATATGAAAAACAATTATCATTAAATTACAAAATGATTCCTAAGTGCAAATATTACATCTAATTTTTACTTTACTGTTCATTTAAGTAAATAAATTAGTAGATTAATAGAAGAAGAAATTTATAAAATAAGACACAGATGCTTTGTTGACTTTATGACCAATCTATAAATTATAAAATTTGTATTTTGACTAATTTTTTATTATAAAATTAAAGATATTCTATTTGTCTTTTACATTATTTTTTAAATAATATTAATTAATACATATTATATATAATTAATATTAATTTCTTAAAACAAACATTATTGCTGCTGAAACCAAATTATATTACGAGTGAAATTGACAACAATTACATGAAATTATGAGATTGGACACCTTGGCTTATGCTCGCCATATTGATTTATTATTTTGAGATAATGTATGATTTTTAGTTACATATCTTTATTCTCATTGCGCGCGGTGTTGTTGAGATCAAAGATTCAAAAGATAGATATTAATAGAACTGAAATTTTTCAAAATTCAAGTATTTGAGGTCAATATTTTCTTAAACTACTTAAACTAAAAATTAAAAAATTTATTTATAATAGTCTATTTATTCTTTTCTATTTATTCATTGAAAATCTAATTTACATTAATATTTTTCTTCTTATTCCTATTAATATAAAAAATATCGTGATAGATAAACGGTCAATGTATGCACTATTCATTATTTGTGTTATAAACATATATATATTATAATAATTTTTTAAAAAACGACAGGATAGACTGACTTAAGAATTCACATATATGAACAAAATGTATTAATGAATATACCAGCAAAATATGATAACAATAGTTATACTATAATTATTCTTAAATTTCTGACTTATATCTTTAATAGAATAGATCGCTTTATTGATCGATGATATCTTTGTAGTCCACTTTTTATCGACAATGTCCAGTTATCTCCGTTGATGCGTTCCAACTCTGTCTTGCGGTCAATATATCCATCGTCATTCAAGTCAGTTCCCGTCGATGGGATTAATTGGGAGTTCCACCGAAACTAGTTTGGCCGGAAGGATCGCCGACTGCGAAGAAACTGGGATTTGCTTTATAATCTACCGGATGGATTTATGACACCGTACAGCGGCACGATTTACAACCATCGGCATAAAGGAGCATCGGGACAAATCGGAAAAATTGTTTGATTACTTTTCGGGACAGGTGCATGTGCGCTCGTACAAGTAAAGAATTCCGAACTTCCGTTTTTAATAAAAATCTCTATATTTTCAATTAATTTCTGTTTACCTTTTTTTTTCTTGACCTCAACTGGCTGATAACTAGTATTCTCATCATGAACGGCAGCTTGTGATGAATCGCACGATACCGATTGTGGAAATGTTAGTATTCGTCCGGCGAAATTGTTGATCGTTCCTTTCCACCTCGCCGGATCTTATTTGCGAGGAAGAAGAAATATCGGCTCGGAAATCGCGTCACCCTGGGAAAAACCGATGAAGCGTCGCACTACGCGCGCGAAACATGAGGAGCCGATTAATTCTCATCGACCACACGTGCAACACGCGTGAACGAACGACAGATATACCAGGACACGGCGGAACAATGAATTGTGTATTTCGCACGCGTACTCTCGCGTCGATGCCCGAAATAAATCGACAATCGGGTTCTTTTTGCGCAGTCGAAGAAAATTCCTGTTGTTTTCGAGCAGCGATGAAATTCGTAGGGATCCGCACCGATTTCGATTGCGATCAATGTCCATTTTTATAATGTAGATTAATTTTAATTTTTAATTTATTTTTATCTTCTTTTAGTTCTTCTTTTCTAAGAATTAGAAAAAGATAAATAATAAATTAAACTGAGATTAAAATTAATGGACATTAACAGAAATTATATATTAGTTTACTTTTGTCTTTTTTTAATCCTAAGAATTAGAAAAAAATAAATAGTAAAATTAAACTAAAAGGCTAAAATTCATAAACACTAATAGAAATGGATATAAATTGAACATATCGAAATTGTTTATAGCGTGAATCTAGTTATTAATTTTTGAAACCAATGTGTTTTTCTTCCTTTAATTTCCATGGCTTTCCAAAAGTTTGGTGGCAGTTTCTATGTGAAGCAGGAATTAAAGTCTTCATTTCACCTGTCGCGCGCGCGCTCAACATTATACACCTGCTACGTAATCATGTTTCTTCCCGGCACCATCTGCCTTTCAAGGTTTCGATATTCGATCGACAGATGCGATGGATTAAAGCGAAAATGCAATATTCGAAAATTATGCGCGTTGCGATATATACTCGTTTATTGCATTTTGCCTAGCGAGCATTTTGTCTAGCGAGGGGATTAAGTTCAATATATATTTAAAAATCCAAAATCAATAATCAGATTTCATTTTTCAGGATTCGAGTAATATTTATAAAAAAATATTTTATACATTAAAGTTACGAAATAATCAATCACTGATTATTTTAGAATTTTAGAATGAATACTTGTAGGATTCGAAATATATTTATAAGTAAATACTATCACAAAGAATCAAATTTTTTATAAGTAATATTCGAATTTTATGAGTAAAGTTGTCATATAAGGGAATAAAAAATTTATAATAGAGCACTCATAAGAGATTTAAACAAATTTGATACTTGAAACTTGAGTTTATTTAGAAAAAAATATTCTCACTTTTTGAGATATTTAAAGTTTGAATCATTTTGTTTAGGTTCGAACTGAACGTATACTGAACTTGAAAGTATACGCTTTTATTTTTTGAAGTAAAGAATTTGAAATTACGCAAACAGAATCGAATTTACATATAAAATATTTAATCTCATTGCTACTTTTATCGATAATATTCAACTAAAAGATTTTCGATGTTTTTTTGTACATTTAGAGAAGCTGAAGATATTACTTTCTAAACAAAAGAAAGAGAGAAAAAACACAAGATTTTTAAAATACATATTACTTATATAGATTAAAAATTGTTCAAAATTAATGAAAAAAATGGATTTTGTTGAGATTTAGCTTAATGAAAGTTTTATTAATAAAATTTTCTTTGAAATTTGTTTATGTATGCAAATAAGTTCTTTATAATAATAACACCAATTATTTAAATCTCATGTACGTTTCGCACTGCATGCATAAAATATACGTACAGGTACGTGAATATCAAAACATTTTGGGAAAATCTATTTTTGAAAATATGGAAAATTCTTGAAAATTTTGTATATTGTTGAAGAATTGTATTCTTACTAATTATCTTTTATCTTTTATTGAGACTTTCTTGATTCTTCTGAAAGTTTAAATTTCTGTGGTTTAAATATTTAAAATTTAAGGAAATCTTGAAAGTTTCTTCCAACTCGTAACATTAAATTCAAATCACCATTTCGATTATATTTTCCAATTCATCGATATTATATTAATTTTCGATAATACAAAACTGGAATTAAAATTTCATAGTTTAAATGAGATTTTCTTTTTAACAATTTCAACATTTAACACGATTTCTATTTTAAAATCCTCATTTATTGTACCTTTCTAAAAAAAAGTATATCATCGATATTTGCATCTCTCGAAATTTATTATTGATGCTTTTTCGCGACTGGTTCTTTTGCTGCACTTACTTCATAAGCGAGTGTCATCGCGGAGCAAATTATATAGGACAATTTGTATAGAAGGATATCGATACAATTTATTTAAAAAAATAAAAAGTAAAAAGTTAAATAGCACATGTGAAGATTGCATTTGTAATGTCTAGTATCTCAAATTGTTGCTGTTATACTATTAACTATTAACTATCAACTATCATTAATTATATGTTATAAAAGATTTGAAAAATTTATCATAAAGAATTTGTATTATCGTTTATATCATTACTATACACTACCGCCATACCTACGTCTATTTTTAAATTTAAATATATTACGTAGCTGCATCATACAATTTTCTGATATTGCATAAAATCGCATTTGGGTGTGTGTCCATGCTATATCTACAAAAAGAATATAGGGAAAGAAAATCTTAATGGATGTGTCAACCTTTTACCATGGGAGGAATTACCGACTGTAATCTATTTTCGATCCATGGTAATTGCCTGAATCGAATATATTTTACAAATACATTTCTTATGGAAAAATTGCATAATTATATTTTTCTATAAAAAAAGTATTTTGCGCAATATCTTTATATAAATATAAATATAATAAAAAATTAAAAATAATAACAGTGGACTTCCATACTACCGTTGAGGTTTCCTTTTAACACGTTAGTGTCAGTCCACAATAAGTATTTAATCTTTAAGCCGTAAGAAATTGACTAATCATAGTCGAGTATTCTTTTCATATTCGATTATAATTGGTCAATTTCTTACTTTTTAAAGCTTAAATCACTTATTGTGGACCGACACTTAGGATTTTTAAAGT